GATTGTATCAGAGCTCTCATTTGCCTTCTCATCTGTTTAAGGCATTTGTATCTTCTCTCTTTAGTATTATTTCACTTGTATTTTTGGAGTGGAATAAAATATTGGTTGTGTCCGAGGAGTAGGCAAAATTAGCCGAACCTCGTAAATTCTGGTGTTTCCTTTATTGTTGTTTTATTGTCTTATTTATTATTTGGTGGCTGTCATAATTTTTGGTATAGTAGTTGTGACTTATTCACACTATATACATTTGGCTTCCGCAACAATTGGTATCAGAGCCAAGGTACTGTCTAAGTATGCTCTGTGGTTGCAGCATAGTCTGATCTTCCACATCAGAAAAGATTTATCTTGGTAACTGAGTCAAGGTTCTGTCTGAGTATGCTCTGTAGTTGCAGCTTAGTCTGATCTTCTACATCAGAAAGGAAATAATCTTGATTTGTGTCGTCAGCTATTAAATAATATTTGTGTCAAATATGGGAAACAATTGTATCAGAGCTCTCATTTGCCTTCTCATCTGTTTAAGGCATTTGTATCTTCTCTCTTTAGTATTATTTCACTTGTATTTTTAGAGTGGAATAAAATATTGGTTGTGTCCGAGGAGTAGGCAAAATTAGCCGAACCTCGTAAATTCTGGTGTTCCCTTTATTGTTGTTTTATTGTCTTATTTATTATTTGGTGGTTGTCATAATTTTTGGTATAGTAGTTGTGACTTATTCACACTATATACATTTGGCTTCCGCAACAGTTTGTTCCGAAATTTTTTGGTTGTTGTAGTGAAGTGCTTATAAAAGACATATTATAACATAATATAATATTCGGTTTCGAGAATAACGTGACTTTTACATTGAATGGCTATTATATAAGAATGTTGTTATTGAGAGGTCGTATTATAAAAAAGGCATCCTTTTTCTATAGTTTTTAGTAGTAACTGCTATCTTCATGAGCGAGGGAAGATCATCCTTTAATTTTGCTATTTTTTTAGGTTGCGATACATGAATTTTATAAAATTTCTCCTTAAATTTTTTTGCTGGCACTTTTATGTAATTAGGTTTATGATGCAAAGGAGGATTATTTCAGACAGCTACCAGATGATGTTTTGTCTACCATTCTCGCACATTTGACAATAACAGATGCTGTTAGGACGAGCATTTTATCTAGAAGGTGGAAATATCTCTTTGCCTCTATGCCTACATTAAGACTCTTGCGATCACAATCGTTGTCCTTACTATCAGCAAAAGTTCTTGACAGGAGTAAATAAGTTATTACAACTTTATTCAGGTCGTAAGGTGTCTGGTGTTACTATAACCTTTTGCTTTTGGAACAAGTTTTCTAGTGAATTTGACAAATGCATGCATTCTATTTCAAGATTAAGTGTTGAAATACTTCGTCTTTCTTCTGATCGAGGCGTTATTTACCCCTGCCACTACCCTTACCCCATCCGCGACCCCAACAAGGTGTTTAAATTTTCTCTTGAGCTCCTCTCTGAGTCTCAGGCATCCTCATTGAAACACTTGATTTTATGTTATTGCATTGTCCAGCCAAGTTTCAGAGTCCGTCTTACCTCTCTCAAGACCCTTACTTTGCATGATGTTATATTAGCAAGCGGACAACTTGAGGGTGTTTTGTCCTCTTGTTTAAATCTTAACCATTTAAAGCTACAATTGCAAACTTCTTTATAAGTTAGTCATATCTGGTACACTAACATCCATTGTTTTCTTTGATTGTGGTGAATTGGAAGAGATTGATCTTCGAGCTAAAAATCTTCGTTTGTTTGAGTGTATCTTCTGTAGCAAAGTAAGATTTTATTTTTCATCTGTTCCCATGTTGGAAAATGTAATGATTAGTGTTCATGGAGCTGATGTAATGCCATTCATATTTGGTGATTTTGCAAGAGATTTACTTGCTCAGGTCAAATCTTTAACCGTTAAAGCGATTTATGATCAGGTATTTGACGACATCTTCTCAAATTACTTTGGTCTTAGTCTTTTTAAAGACCCTAATCACTTGATGTGTTCTATATTTCAGATAAAATACTTCCCAACAGAGATACTAATATTCAGAAACCTTAGGAAACTAAACATGGTACTTGTGCTCACGGACGACTTTGACATAGTCAAAATTTCCCCTCTTAGGCGCCTGTCCTCTTTTCTGATATTTGAATGTTGTGGTGAGTTATCCATATTCTTCTTTCTTCTTTTTTTTTCCCTTCCCTTTTTTGGATATTGTTTGCTTTTCTATAATATGTTGGTATGTCCACATGAATTAATGAAGAAAGATAATATGATAATTATATGACCGTTCCGCTCTAGTCATGTTTACACCAATAAAAAATATTACCCTCTACCGATTATTTTTAGTTTAAGTGGTTGAGTGGGCGGCTATTTCGGTTAATTCTTCTAAAAAATATTACCCGATGAGGTTGGAGTTGTTGTAACTGAATGAAACACCTCCTATAGTTGATTTCCAAGAAACTTTTTTTGTGATCTATGACATAATGAACTACTTAGTATATTCCTCGGGGGTCATTTGATAGAGTGTAAAAGAATAGCACTGAATAGGGTGTAGTAGTAATGTTGAGATTAGTTATGCTCAGATTATTTCTTGGTTTGGTGTATTAAAGGTTTTGAAATGACAGTTCTATCTTTGTACATGCTTATCCATGTATTAAAACCAATGGTATTGTTAATGCCATGATTTGTTATGTATAAGAATAATACTGAATTCCAGTTTGCTTAACTACATAAGTCATAGTTGTATTCAAATAGCAATATATTGATATTATTCTTGTTATGATCTCAGCAATCGAGGACAACAAGGGAAGCAAGAGGAAGTGGCATAATTAGGCCTCATTTATCTCCTACATATCACACTGAGCTAAAAGAAGTGAAATTTGGAGGATTTGTTGGAACAGAAGAAGAGATTGAATTTGTTGTTTATATTCTGAGAAGTGCAATGGTACTTGAACAAATGTTACTCGGCCCTTGTTTTAAATGGTATTGTGGTAGTGGTATATGGGAGGAATTGTCGGGTTTTTCGCTTGATGAAAGAAAACGCAACTCAATCCAACAAGAACTACATGGGCAAGCTATCTCTAGTAATGCCGTGGTGATCATTCAATAGGTTCTAGTAATGGGTGGTATTCTAGTAATGTTTTGAAGGAAAACATTCTTGCACTGCAAATGCACATTTTCTCTCATTTTTTATTCTTCGTTTGAATAATATTAGTTTCTCCATTCTTCGTTTGGCATGTCAAATATTATCTTGGTGCATTATAGTGTTGGTATATGTGGCTTTCTGTTGATATTAAGAACGAACAGTTCTGTATCTCCTCTTTCTTTCGTTAGCATTAACTGGGATCAGTGGCGGAGGCAGGATCTCCACGAAGGGAGTTCAAAAAAAAAAGGAGGCAGGATCTCCACGAAGGGAGTTCAAAAAAAAAATTGTAGCTAGTGGGAATTGAACCCATGACCTTATGTAAAGGTTAAACCCCCGTGACCACTAAACTACACTTTTGGATTGTGTTAATGGTGTTCAAAACTTAATATATAGAGATAAAAAAACAGATTTTGTCTTATATATACAGTGTAATTTTTCGGCGAAGGGTGTTCGGGTGAACACCTTGCGCCTCCCTAAATCCGCCCCTGACTGGGATTGATAGAATTGATGTTCTTGTAGCAATACAACAACAACAACATACACAGTATTATCTCACCCCATAGGGTCTAGGGAGGGTAGTCTGTACACAGATTTTACTCCTACCTTGTGAAGATAGAGAGGCTATTCTTGTCGCCATGTGCTAGTTTAATGAGTGACGTTAAGACGTTAACTGGTTGCAATGTGCTATTGTTATTGTTCTAGCTGTTATTAGAGTGACAGTAAGACTTGACGTTAAGAGTTGATAGAATTGTTGTTCTGGTTGCAATGTGCTAGTGTTAATATCTTGCTACTTCACAAGGTAACAACTCTCAATTCAGAACTTTAACAACTGAAAGATTTAACCTGTTTTTCTTATATGGCCTTGGACAATCCTGTGTTGAGCTAGCTTTTGGGATTGTATTAGGCCCAAGGTCCATTTATCTATTACCTCCCATTCAGTCCCAAATTTAGCTTTCTCTGCTTTCAACTGATATGTCTCCTTTTTGTTAGGATTTTGCCCTGAATTTTTAATCTATTAGCACTCTTTTTCTGGGAAAAAGACTCCTAAAAGGAGTAAATCTCTTTTATCTGTCTTACCCTTTTCTTGGAAGAGAAGTTTTGTACTTCTATATTGACATTCTTATCATAACAAGAACAACAATGATAACCTAGCTTAACAATGTAGTCTTTATGAGAATCTTTCTTTTTATAGTAGTGATAGATTATATGTAGGTCGATTGATCAATTCATAATAAATTATTATGCCTAGTTTAGTATATTTTTCTTTTATATTCTGATTTATCGTTCATCGAGCTTTGCATTTTTAGCTTTCGCATGAACCATGTTATTTCAATCCCAACACTTTTCACTTTCTTCCTTTTCCGCTCTAATTTTATCAATCTCTGCTGTTGCTTTAGCTTTGTTTCCGGAATGAGCAACTCTTGAGCTTTGTTTTTCATAGCCTCCATTGTTTCTTCCTCAAGATTGATGCATTTTCAAGATCATCTTTCATTTTGCTGATTCCTTCCCTTCCTTGCTACAAAATTGTTCTCTTCAATTTTACCTTTTTTTTAGCAGCTTAGGGATCTCTCTTTTTCCTCAATATGTAGCGTATTGTATTGTATCGTATTGTTACTTTAAATATAATGTTTATTTTGATTATTATTTGAATTATTGTATCATATAGTTAAATCTGCTGTTATGTAATGACAAAGGACCCTTAATATATAACGACCGATTTGGTATGATTACGATATTATCTTGCTCCCCCCCTCCCCCCCTTTTTTTTATAGTAATTTGGCACTTACTAGAACTCTATTTTACTGCAATATTGTAGTCTTATTTTTCAAATTGTTGTTGTGTGGCTTTATAAAACGACGAAAAATGATACTATATATTCAAACGTTATATTCATTCAAATAATACAATACAGTACAATACGAGATAATATATTAAGTAACAATATATAATAACCGTCCCAACAAGTTATTAATATCCATGTCTTACACTTCAAGATCATTTTTCTTCACAATTATCTACGAAAACTTCTAACACGTATACTTTCTATAGCATGTTAAGATCATTTTCCTTAACGAATATCCCATGAAAACCATAAGGAACGCGACGAGGCAATTTCACAACAGCGACAATTTCAAGATCAGGAGATTTGGCATCCATAACTAAGAAACTTGATTCTCCTGTGCTCTCATTATGCATATAACAAACCACATAGCCATCATCTTCATCAGCTGTTAAATTGTTGGTGTCCTTTGCTACAAAGAATGGCTCACTACAAAAACAATTTTGTCCAAATATTCTTGTGGCTACTATGCAATCACGACGATCAGTTTCTGATATGGACACATCCAATTTTACCACACCTATTGCTTTTGGCAAAGGGTTTCCAGTAGCTGCATATATATACCTTAAACATAAGGGAAAATTTACAACTGTTATATATCATCCACACAAAAAAAGGTTAGTTTCTCATTTTTTAACGACATATAAATTACCTATGTATGAAGACCAGGTGCGCGAAGCTAAGTGAGCGGAAGGGGGTTCAGAACCCCTTCGTCAAAAAACACTATATTTATATAAGGTCAATTTTTTTCT